TCTCATGCGAGTTTGAGAGCACCTTTCTTGGATCTGAGAGTCTCAAACCTATCTCCTTATGCCCTTCTTACTCTCAGTCTAGTCCTGTTATGAAAGAAAGGCGGCAAGAGGGATTGCAACCCGTAGGACCGCAACAAGACTCTGTGGGGAGTCAGCCCACCGATTGAGGGAGCTCTGTCCAAACCTAGGCGAGGTTCTGTTATAACCCTGTTATAACCCCTATCTGTATTTTTTGCTATATTTTACTGAGTATATTACCTGCATCCCTAGTTTGACTTTCAGTTTTGACTTTGAGGACAAACCAAACTTACATAAAGGAATGTATGCGCTATGTCAGTTTCAATTTTATTGTTTGACTGAAAGCAGATTGTGGGATTGCATCTGAGGGAAGGATGGGAGGAAGACAGTATTGCTTGTTTGACCGAGTCTTTCAAAGGCTGGGCAAGTTTCCATAAGTGTGGGGAGGCCCATTGCTATATTTATTTTGAATTGTTTGGAGAACCAGACATGTTTCATAAGTTTGGGTGGTTTGGTTGCTCTGACTTGTGAGGGCTGATTGTATTTGACTTTCAGGGACCAAGCATGTTCTATAAGTTTGGATGGCTTTGTCGCCTTGTTTACTTTTGGTTTCTTTCAGGTTTTTTTTTTTGAATGAGGAGGTCTGAGGCGCTGCATGTTCCATAAGTTTGGATTACTCAGCATCTTCTTGCTTTGGTTTTAAGAGAAATGAATCAGGCTGAGGACCAAGACATGTTCCATAAGTTTGGGTGGTCTTGGTCCAATGCCACGCACATGCTGGAACCAGAAAGCTATAACTTGGCTATATTTTATTACTACATTACTTATGAACAAGATAGTTAGAAGGGGTTCCATAAGTTTGGGTGATCTGACTATAGCTTACCACCAACTGAAGAGAGTACTAATTAAGAGTAAATTTGTGGTACGAAGGGGCAGACTGGATCTTGAGCTGAAGATAATCCGTTCGGTTATATTTTACCTAAAAAGACCAAGTGAAGATAGTTATATAAAACTGGGATACTTAAAGAGTTCAGGGCGACTAAGGTGGCCTAGTCATATGCCCAAAGAAGAGAAAAGTTGTTGTGCTCTGTGTTTATGTATACTCCATGACTAAGCTAGACATGTTCCATAAGTTTGGGTGGTCTAGCTTTATGCCCTATGTAAGTAGGGTATAAAGGGATAAATCATTGAGAGACTATGAACTATTGTTTGATAAATTGACGTTGGGATGGTGAGAGTACTTACCTTTGTGGTTTGACCTGCATGAGACTGAGTGCAACTACTACTTAGTCTGAGTTTCAGTTTGATAGGTAGTTGCTTTAGTGCTCGCCACATGTTAGAGACACAGGAGTTTGTTTCAAATCCTGCCTTTTTTTTAGCTAAGTTTTTTTACTTAGGTCAATTTATGCATTTTCTGGGATTTTTTATTATATTTGGTCTTGTATAAATCTTGGTAAGCCACTTTCTATACGGGAAGTGCTGTCGGAATTTCTACAAAACCAAGGAGTTAGTCAGATTTTGTGTTTTCGAAGTCCAACTTGTCTGACTTTTTTATATGACTTAGTAAAAATTTGGAGAGTCTCCTTTTCTAAAGGGAGTGCTGCCCGAATTTTCGCTAATTCAGGGAGTTAGACAAAATTGGACTTTGAGAAGTCAAAGTCACTTTAGATTCTGAACTTAGCTTTGTATAAATCTTGGATTAGCACTTTCTTAATGGGAGTGATACCAAATTTTTCAGGTTAGTTAAATTCTGTCTTAGTTGAACTCGGGTTTTGTTCTGGGTTCATATCTGACTTAGTAAAAATCTGAAAATTCTTCTTTTCTAAAGGGAATACTTACCAATTTTTTACTAATTCGGGGAGTTAGGCAAAATTTGATTTTTCAGAATTAGAGTTTGATTTTTGTTTTCATATTTGAGTAATTATAAATTCTGAGAAGGCATTTTTCCTACGAGAAGCGCTGCCGAAATTTTCTTCGTTTAGGGGAATTAGATTATATTTTGACAGGTGACGATTCTGGTAATCCACTCTGCATAGGGGAGATTTTGTCAGGGTCTACCTTTCTTTGGGCGCTTGCTTAGAGGTAGACGCTCACTTAGTTAAGTAGGATGATTTGAGCAAGATCGTGATATGGAGATTATTCTTCATGGACTTATAGGTTTAAATTTGGGGATTGACCTTCTTGTGTTACAGGTCCTCTTGATTGTTTGATTGAGGATTTGGACTAGATTCAACTTAATCCTACGAGGATCGTCTTCTGTTATCACTGATAACAGGTTGGCTGCCGATTTATCGGTTTACGATTCAACTCCAATTCACTCTTGCCACTCAACCTAAAGGTTGTAGCCCTGTGGTTTAAAATGTTTCATTGTGTTTTTACCCGGACTTTATAGAATAGTCATTTAACAAAGGTACTGAGTAATTTACTGTTGGAAGAGTGCGCTAAGGTTGAGGTTTGAGTGGCTAAAGCAAGGGGTGTGAGCGTAGAGAATGGTTGAAGTTGACCCCATGTACTGCATGAACTTTTTGTTGAATCTTTGATGTGATTGCATGTATGTTTGGTGTTTCGGACTTTGGATTTGACTGCCTGCGATCATATACATATATATGGCTTAGCGGAGTCCCACTATGATTATGAGACGTGATCGTCACATAATTATAACTCTTTATATATATCGTCAAATAGAACTGCCCGGTAAACCGTAGGCAGAGAGGGAGAAGAGGACAACAAATGAGGGGTTGTGACAAACTGTTTCGTCGGAGTTTCACCGACTCATCAGGAGGCTGTAAATACATATGTCTTGGGTGTTTTGCGCGGCCTACTGTGACCGCACATAAGGGTTAAATAGATTATGTTTTTTTTTAGAGAAACAGGTGATTCTCTATTATCCTTTGCTTTTTAAGGGTTTTTATAGTTGGACGTTGTAGTCCGTGACAACCGTCAAAGTCAAACCCCTTGATTTCTCTCCAGGCCCTAGATGATGGAGCTGGTCTTCAGAGCGATAAGAGACGATTGTCATCACATGTATGAACCTGTGTACCACCCACTCTCCGCAGGGTGCAGAAAAGGGTGTGGTTCTCAATCGCACTTGGAGGTTGTCCAACGTTAAGAGATCAATCCCTCAAGGTGCGTGTCAGCCGACATTTGAGTGTCGAATGCGACCCTCGAGATGAACGAGGACCGCTTGAGTATGGATAATACATAGCATGCCATCATTGCGATTGCTTGCGTATGCTTCCATTGCAAGTCGATATGAGGTTAGTCCTGCGTCCGCGCGGTTTTATACTAAGTCTCGTGCGCAACGCCCATCCGATTTCCACATCAAAAAGTTATGGGATGACTACTAAGGGACTAAGAGTGTTGTCGCGTTGTTTGTCTTGTGTTGTTTTGTATATGTGTGTGTATGTGTACGTGTTTTTATTTTCTTTAGAGTGGTGTCCGCGTGGTGTGTGGGATGCGTCCTAGTCGACCGACGACGAGTCACGCTTGGGACCTCAGCCCCCTTAAGGCATCGGTTCACGTGCGGGTCCGATAGAGGGGTAAAGCCGCGCGTACCCCCTATGCTACAATGAACGAGAAACGCCCTCGGTTGGTCCACCTCTGCGGTTGCAGCTGATTAACTTTCATATTGTGGATTGGTAGCTCGACGGGGATACGCCCACCGAAGGGAGGTGACAACTCCCGTAAGGTGGAGGTAAGTCGTGCCTCACGTAGGCCCTATCTTGTCGTAGGGGCTCGCGAGAGGTATGGTTGGCGCACTCGGTCGGAGCGGCTTGCGGAAGCTCCATTATGTATGCGCGACGAGGATAAGACCAACTCCTGCGTCACACGGCCGGGAGGGTCCCGCCCCGTTTTGTGCGGTGCCAGACCGATGTGCTCGACAACGCTCCTCATCCCTCGTGAGATCCACGAGACGCACGAGGAGGCCAATGACGCCGAGATGAAGACATACACCGCACGGCGGGCTGCGAACCGGGCGGACAGGGACATGCTAGGGGGAGACGAGGATTTTTGGAGCCCTTTAGGGGACTCCGAGGTGGCTTCCATGGGTGATATGCGAGATGCCTGAGCCGGGGGCTCGCATGCAGGCGTGAGCCGCGCAGAGGCGGGGAGCCCGACTCAACTCCTACAAGGCGAGAGTCGCCCATTAGGCCACCTCCTGCGCCGAGTCTTGCACCGCCCACCCCCGTCTCACCTCTTCAGTCGGCCACTACATAGGAGGAGACTGAGGAGTTGGCATCCTCCTTGCCTCCGCACGGGCTTCTCCAGAGATTGACGGTGGTTCGATAGCTGAGGTTACGATCACCTTCCCTGGGGGACACACTGGAGGAGGGGGATGTGGCAGCAGCGGCGTATGAGGCACCAGCAGTCGCGACAACGGAGGAGGAGGTGCCAACACAGGCGACGACTGAGGAGGTGGTGGCAGCAGCGGCGGTGGCAGACATTCCTATGGAGCATTCCTATGGAGCATTCCTATGGAGCATTCCTATGGAGCGGCGGCGGTAGCAGTAGCAGTGGAGGGGGAGGAGGAGGTAGCGGCAGCAGTGGCGGTGGCAGACATTCCTATGGAGCATGATGGTGCGGACGCCGATGAGTAGCTCGTGCAGCGCTTCATCAGGGAGGAAGTCGATCCAGTCGTGGGGGGTTTGACCCCGGGGATGGCGATGGAGCTGGGGGGTTGTCCTCCCACAGGGCGGGCGGGGTCAGAGATGGGGACACACTTCGACTTCGACATGTTGATGGGAGCTCCACCTAGTTGCAGCGGGGCGACATCGACGGATCGGGCGCCATCACAGCATGACGCCGCAGGCGAGGCGATATCGACGGATCAAGCGCCATCACGGCACAACACAGTAGGCGAGACGGGGACGCAGACCCCGAGAGAGAGGACGGAGGCGGAGTCTCTAGATACAGCACGCGACATCATGAAGCGAGAGAGGGCTCGACTTATGGCATCGAGTAACCCGTGTGCTTAGGCGTTCGCACAGGCCTTGGAGGAGGCCAGGTGTCGAGAGATATGGGGGGATGGTGAGCAAGGCGGGGTGGTGGCGGGGGAGGACATTATGGAGGGAGTGGCAGCAGAGGCGGACGATGAGGCTATGCAGGGTGGGCCAGAGGCAGTAGATGTTCCTGTGGAGGGCCAGCCACAGGCGGTGGATGAGGCTCTCCAGGCAGGACAAGGGCGAGACGAGGGGGCTAGAGATGAACAACCCGTGGTTCATGAGAGAGCGACGGGTCCAGTCGTTCCATTCTCCGGCTTGCACTTGGCTGAGGGCCGACGGTCGCAGCCGGTTCAGGTGGCAGTGCATGATGTACCACCGCCCGTTATCATGGATTTGGGGTCCGAGCCGGTGGTTGTGCCTCCACGTCCTCGTAGTCACTTTGCTCCGCAGGAGGTCCGTCGTCCTTTGGATGCAGAGGAGTTGGCGAGAGATGTTATGCCCGATGTTACTCAATTGGACCGGCGGATCTTCGACCAAAGGCTCGCGCATCCACTGTGGCAGGCGATCCCTTCAGTTCCATGGGGTCCTTTGTCGCCCGTGTGGTCTTGGTCTACCTCTAGCGGAGGACATACCGTGGGAGTTGTTCCAGGGGTTTCGGGTGGCGTGCAGGAGACAGCGCCACGTAAAGGATACATGCCACCCCCTCCTCCTAGACCACCTGTGGGTGTTCCATCATTGTCGCCCACAGGCAGAGGCTCTTCATCCCCACACACGCCTAGGAGATCGAGGATTCGTGACACGATAGCAGTTGAGCGGGACGTGTGTGACACAACATTATTCGGGAGGACAGGCATGAATTTGGATTTCACCCGCCGTGTCACGCAACACACTGCACGCCTTCAGTCGGCTTTGGGATCCCGCGGCGCCAGGGCGACCTCAACGAGGGAGGTAGCAGCATCAGGTTGTGAGCCTCGCGACAGAGGAGGAGTGTCCGCCACGACCTTGGACCACACTCTCAGAGCAGCGACGCATGTTGTGCATGAGCAGACTCCACGCAAGCATGGAGTGACTCCTCATCCACACCCCATGGCTGCAGAGGGAGGTGCTGCACTTGGAGAGAGTTCGGGGGCTGAGGGGTTGGGGATGCCTCATGGATCCCGTCGTGAGCAGACGGTTGCAGAGGCTGGTACGGGGGTTGTTGTGTTGAGGAAGGGAGGAGGCCCTGTCACCATCAAGGAGGATGATCCGAAGACGGCACCGATAGTGGTGGAGGAGGACGAGGACTATGAGGGCGAGGAGGAGGGTGTCACTGAGGAGGAGAGCGAGAGCGGCGACAGTGGTGACGGCGACGACGACGACGATGAGCCCCCACCTCCCCCACCGACGCGTGCATCTAGACGCTCCACTGCGCAGACTTCTTCATCCGCACGAGGGAGGAGGAGGTCGACATCAGGCACTTGAGGGGGTACGAGGAGACAGAGGGGGAAGGGGAAGAGGGGTCGGTGACCGTGAGGCCAACACTCCGCTTTTCCCCTACTTGCACTCTACTTCATCATGTTATGTGCTCCTGTTTTTTTTTGCACGTCGTCTTGTCTTAGTATTGTTACATACTATGTGGTAGTGTGTGAGCTATAGTTGTTGTTTTCTTCGTTTTCGGTGTCTGATTTTGGTACAAGTAGGGCATCCGTAGAGTAGCGTTGGTTGCAGCAGACTGAGTACAGTATCTCGACAGCTACGACTAGACTTGTAAACTACTGTTTTTTGTATTTTTTTCGACATGTGCTACCACTGCCGTAGCAGTAGGATACATTGTATGATGTTACATTTTTCATATGTGATTTCAGTGACAAGTACTTAACGTCGTTCACGGCTTTTCGTGTCCATTACATTTTCCATGTACATTTTGAGTTACGAGTGATGCACGTCGTGTGCACGGCGTTTCGTGCCCTTTTTTTGTCAGGTGTGTGAATTTATATCTTCAATTGTTGTTTTCATTTTCAATTTAATTTCTTGTGTTTTTTTTTTTTTTTTTTTTTT